GGAAGCGCTAGCGTGGCGCGTTCAAGTTTTGACTTCGAGTTTTCGGCGCAACTCAAAAGCGCGTTCTTTGAAGTCGGGTTGCGGTGGTAATCGAAGTACGTAGAAGGTAGGTATTTAGAAGTGTAGAAGGTAGGTACGTAGAAGGTAATGGTGGTATAATATGCTAGAATTCGAATCCTTTGACCGTGTCGCAGGTAGAATCCAGGCAAATTATCTTAGCAATTCAAGTCAAATAGCATAGAAAAGACCGTGTCTTTTCTAGTACTTGAGCTGTTGCCGTAGTAGATATCTCTACTCTTCAAGATTTACCAGCGCGCTCTTTTCAGTAGTCGGAATTCTTAGAATCTAAGAATTTGACTGCTTTCAAAGAGTGAAATGATCTATGCGTCCATTGATCAATGTTGGTATCACTCTGTCGTAGTACGTACAATCAAGTAGTCTGCGTGAGCCAAAGTACAGTGATAATAGTAGTAGTATTATCTGTTGTATCGTGGCTGTCCTTCCTAGGTAGTCGAGACTCCGTAAGGGAGATATATCTGGCCGGCTAAACCCCGGTGCAGATACTCGACTAACACGTGACTATGGACCAACATATGGACCAACAGATACCTTGAAAAGCGCCAGAGCCGTTGACATGTCACTTCTCTTCATCCATCGTTATTTCGTCGCTTAAGTCCGCTCCATCGTCTTCACTCGTGGCATGTGCATTTTACATTGCCTCAAAGCCACGGCCCACACCATTTCTAATCTTGTGATAGAGCACTATTACAGGCACACCGAATAACAGCAAACCCACGGTCTGCTCTTTACATCTATGAGGTTTTGCGTAAGATTGATTAGTGAGACACACAACCCAGACCTTTCACAGTTAAGCATTCAGCCGCCCTATTTACGCAACATCGATTCTCATGCTATTCTTTTGCATTGTCTAAAGCTTTGGACGTCTTCAAAGGTGTAAAGTAAAGTTGAGAGGCTTAGCATAATCCTCCATCCCGAAAAGGAGAATGTAACATATCTTCAAGCGGCTGCATCACATCTGTTGAGGTTGATATCGTACCAGGCGGATTGCCGTACTGCAAGAACCGTTCACATTCATATCCATCTGCGTCAGCGATGCGTCCCTGGAAATGAGAGATTTCCTGCTTTTCGTGAATATTCTCGCTTCATTCTTACTCCACCAACATCTTCGAGAGTCTTCTGAGGATTTCCCAATCTTGACCGTTTGTGAAATGCACCATCCACAAAGCGAACTAAACGAAAGTCACAAATAGAAACTGAATACCCTGCACAAAGTCGCTCTATTAGTTTACCCTACAGTGCAACAACATTCCGCTACCTTGTACAGACATGGACACATGTACAAAGCTCGGGGGTCTGTTTCTAATGTTCCCAGAGTCCTTGCTTCACTTTACCTGTTTTGAATAGTCCTTTTTTATTAAGGTAGTACATCTCTAGACTCTTGATTTGAGTTGCCATCCGCCCTTGCTCTCCTCGCTACTTCTCGAAACACTCAGCAGTATTTACGGAAGCTAAAGTAGATCATCAACGCAAGTCAGTCATGGAAGATTACAACTCCCGCTTGAAATGTAACGAGGACCTTCAGCTGTTCTGGCATTTGTCCTGACTATGGAAACATTCAAGTACAACTGCATTCCATGACTCCGGAGCGAGAAGCCTGCGTTATCAACACGGCTGTATGAGTAGCATCAGTTGTGAGATTCGGAAGGAGATTTTCTTAAGGCTTTATCATATAATTTTCTCAAACGGCTCAACCCTTCAGGTTATATAATAGTAGCTACGCTGGGCTTCCGAAGTTTGGAAACCAAGTCCCATAACCATACTTCACAAGCATGACTATATCGACGATACAAATTAAATATGAGACAGTCTTCGCTTACTACACGTGATTTCGATTCATACTCATTTAGCTTTTAGACTTCTTTCCCCAACTAGCCCAAGCACAGACACTTGCTCTACCGCTCGACATTAGATTTGTACGATCAATACCAATCAACATCTAGTATGTGTATCTCTCAACTAGTCAGTATTTGCTTTGCTTGTCAGTCTCTTTATGTTCTAATCATCTGTATTACCACCCTATCTGTTAAATAGAAAGTGTGAACTGCCTTTCGGAAACACTTAAAGTCTCGGTCGCTAAGCGAAGCAAGGGTCCACGCCACGGCTCTTACCTCTCTTTTCCACATATATCTAGACACACAACGATTCAAAACAATACATTATTCTAAATTCAGATAAGGATCTGACTCCTAAGTCATGTGAGCCTCAAGCGTTTGTGGTTTAGTGGTAAAATCCATCCTTGCCATCAGAGGTCAGAAAATGATCAGTGATTAGATTGGATGGGCCCCGGGTTCGATTCCCGGCGAACGCAAATGTGTACGCCTCATTATTTTTGGCGATTTTTATCAACGCAACATGTTTTTATAGAGCCGTCCATACTTTATTTACGAGGTTGCTTGCGTACAGGTACGTATAATCAAGAGATCAGCGAAGATCGGCTGGACTATCTAAGTAATAAGATAGAAGTAATAGCAGCAACATGCCTATGAGGCTTTCGATATACTGTTAATCTCATATTGCGTCTTCACTTTTTGCACCTCCGGATATTCAAGAAATAGTAGTACGAAGCGCTAACGACGGGACTTTCGAGATGGGCCGCCCTATAAACGATACAAAAACAGAATACAGGAATACTAGGGAAGTTACTACGATTTGTTCTAAATAGCAAATTCGGCTGGAAATCAGTATGCAGTCAATTATCCGAGTATAATATCACATGAGCGAAGCACGAATCAGTTTCTGTTGTATATATAATATAATGTAGCCTTAGTCAAAACCCCCTCCTTCGATATGAGAAATAATTTTGTATATGATCCTTTACGAAATAAAAAGAAATACATATCTCCAAGTTAATAATCAAACTGCAAACAAGAGTCTCTTGTAAGAGAAGACAAACAAGCCGCATTTCAAAGCGCTTTCAAGCTAATCATCCGAAAAGAATATCTTTCTTCGTATTATCTCTGGGAAGCGCAAAAGAGAACATTCTCTCTTCATAAAAATTACAAATTATATTGAGCCTTCTACACTAATTTACAGACTCTTACATGCGGTGTTATTCAAAAAATCCTCTACATTCAATCCTTTCTTTTCAACCTCCTCACTATCACTAAAAGCTACCTCGTTAAAAATCGCAAAAAGGAGTGCATTCGAGCACACTCAAGGATTTGAACCCAGATAAGCTCTCTGACCTGGAGATTTATTAGCACACTTGTCTTGTGAGGGTGAGAGACGTTACGTACGGGGAGTCGAACCCCGATCTCCCGCGGCTTGTCATGAATGACAAGCGGAAATCATGACCGTTAGACCATCAAAGACACTTGAATGCTGCTGATTGGATGACCAGTAGGCTGTTAGTTAAATATATAATAAAATCCAATTTCGAGTGCCGTAGAGCTTAGGGTGTCGGATATAGTGGGGACGTGCGGGGTATTTTTTCTTCTTCTCCTTGTTCCAACACCGGCGGTGTGTGTGTGTGTGGAGGGGTGATAAGTGGAGCTGTTGAGGCGACCACCGCCTCTGCCATGCTTTGTTTGATGCCTACCTGCCTGACCGACCTAGGTCCTAGGCAGTCTAATTTCGCACAAGTAGGATCTCAATCACGAAATTGTCCAAAATCTTCAGTAAAGATTCACACCAGGATGCTGGCCCCGCTTCAGAGGCTTGGTTCTACCGTGTGCAATAAACACTCCTCGCTTTCTCTCGCTCTGTTCCCTCCCTGGCTCAAGCGACCAAGTAAACAAACAAACAAACAAACAAACAAACATCTGACTTTACACACAACAGCCTCTTCCAATCCTAGGAAATTGCCAGAGTAGATTACATGCAAGCTAGCACCCTCATTCAACGGATTGTCAAACAGGCATTTTGCGCCTTTGTAGCGGTTAGCTACCCACCTACCTAGTCCTTGCTCTACCTCACATAACTCCTCATCAGTCCTTCCTTACCTCGAGTTCGTGAAAAGCAGGCAGCATTAGCATTCGTTTACGGAATGGACATACATGTATGTAAGGCAGCAGCGGGATCTATCTATCTATGCCTGTCGATACTAAATCAGCCGGTTTATTGTGGTCGGATACTCCTGAATGGAAGAAAGACAATAAAGTAAAGGGTCATCGCTTCGCTTCAAAGGGTATCTATCGGAATCCAAGCAGCTTGACGAGCAGTTGACGAACGAATAGAGGGGATTGATAATATGCATTCAGGTCTCGTGAAGAAAGTGAAATGAGTCTACATTTCCTCATAAAAACAGATACCAAAGCATCAGGGCGCCTTACATACACAGATCCCTGATTGTCCTTACGGACACAACAAATAATTAACGTTCTGGATCTCTCCTTCAACCTAAGAGCCTCTCAACTAATCGAGAAGCAAACCGTAAAGACAAGACGAAGTGAGCGAGAGAAAGCGCAGTGTAGGAAAGTAGTAAGTCATACGACGTCAAGATGAACAACGCTTTGTCTGATATCTAGCACCTCTTCAACTTCTGCTTCTCCCCTGGTTCTCATGCTGAAAAGCGTGATATTGTTGCCTTAGCATACAGTATCCGTATCTGGAATTGAACTTTTGCCATTGCATTTTAAACTGTTACTATCACCACAACCCGAACTCAAGTATCACAGCACCTTGAAGAAGATCGAATGATAATTCGGTTGAGCACCTGATTCCATTGCTCTCTTTCAATTCCCGTTGCCACTGGATGCCTCGCACTGACTTATTGACGAAGAGAAATGCACAAAAGAGAAAGTCGCTCAAAACAAAAAAAAAAGACACAAAACACACCCCGATTCCATAAATGTTCCTAGTAATACAATATTCCACTCATTCACGGTTTTCTCCAATCCAGTATCTCAGCACCGATTGGGTTGGACCAAGACCCGACTAGGAAACAATGAATCCACAGCCTGTCCTGCCTACTTTCTTCTCCTGTATGTACAGCGAAATAAAGTATCTATTCACTCCTGGGTACTCGAGAGCTCATTACGAGCAAATCAGGTGAAACGCGTTTCTCCGAATTCGGCCTCCGAACACATTCAAAATTAATCATTTTGCTGGCTTAGAAGCCGGCTGCGCCGGCTGCGGCCCAGAATGATCGGGCTACGAGATTGGCCTTGTCTCCAGGCTCGCCTGCATTAGGGTTGTTACCAGTGGCATCGTCGGGGTATACCAAGAACGCAAGAGCGATTATGATATAGAGCCCAAGGAGCATCGCGCCCTCCAGGTAGTTTGATTTGCCGTCTTTGAAACTTGTTAGTAAGTGTATTTCTCTCGAGATCAAAACAAGCTCGTCGCTGATCTCAGATCTGGAGATATTTCAGGAAGAAACACATACCTTGAATGACATATGTCACTACCAAGACACTCAAGAAGAAAACTACAGTCTCGAAGGTCTCAAAGTGCAAAGTCATGGGCTGCCCGATAGCCCAACCAAGAAGAACCAAGGCCGGAGTAACTAGAAGCGCAATTTGCATGGAACTACCAATTGCAACTCCCATGGCCAAATCCATCTTGTCCTTCAAGGCGACCACAATAGCTGTGACATGCTCGGCAGCATTTCCAACAATTGGGAGAAGGATGAGACCGATGAATGTCTTGGAGATGTGTGCGGTCGCAACAAGAGAATCGATCGATCCAACGAGGTACTCGGCGCATACTGCTACTGCGATTGTCACGACCAATAGTACACCACCAGCAGCCCAAGGGCTCAATTGTGGCTCTTCTTCCTCTTCCTCATCTGCTGGGGCCTCAGCGTCGAAAAGAGTGGCGTGTGTTCGCAGTTGGAAGAAAAGGTACAGGACGTAGAGGATCAGGAGGATAATGGCAGTTCCGTGGGATAGGATAATGATGTTCTGTTCGGCGCTTTCCTTTGAGCCTGCCATTGCAGCATACAACTTCCAAAAGGTTAGAGAATTTGACGGCGATTCGTTTGGAGTAACTTACTGTAGCAGGAATGATCAGGGAGGCTGCGGCGACTGTCATCAGAGAAGACATTGTTGATGCCACGGTCGAGTTAAAGTCTTGTTCGATACCTTGTGCTGTTCCAGTCCTAGTATTGTGAATGCCACCTGCTAAGAAGCAGCATCCAAGTACAAGGAGCATATTGGAGAGGATACTTCCCAGCATACTAGATTGAACAATACGAATCTGACCATCTTTCAGGGCCACGATACTGACCTATGTTCGGTTAGCACAGCGCAGATGTGTAATCGGACCAAACATACAATCAGCTCAACAGCATTTCCAAAAGTCGCATTCAAAAGACCACCCATTGTCTGACCGAGCTTCATGGAGATCTCTTCAGTCGCAAACGAAAGGACGGCAGCGAGGGGAACGATGGCAAAGAAATTGAGAATGAAAACAACCGTGGGATCCCAGCCCATTGCGCCAGCAACTATACCGACCGGTACGAAGACCAAGAGGATATTAACATAGTTGCTGTACAATGTCACTTTAGTAGCTTGCACGACTTGTGCAGGAATCCTCACGAACTTGTTTTCACTCTCCAATCCCGCCGTATGGTTCTTGCTCGCGAAGAACTCGAAGAAGCGTGTCATGGAACTCTTCCTGCGATCACCATTGTCCCGCCCGCTCATCAACCCAGTGTTTTCCGTCGCATTTCCGTTCCTTTGATTCGTCATATCGGCGTCGTGTTTGCAATGTCCACCCTTTGCGCGCTGGAGCTGTTTGCGGAATTCGGTTCCTGCTATATCATTGAAACGCAAGGTTCGAAGTCAGCCCAAGAATCTGTCTTTCTAGAAAAGAGTTTCTGCGTTATGTCTTGGCCGATGGGCGGTGCTGGTCATGGATCTTGCTTTCCGGTTGAGAGATGACTTAAGGAATGTTGCAATAATAGGAAGGCTCGATGTTCAGGATGGTGTCGTCGGCGTCAAGCTCGAGCGTAGATCTGTCTGCACTGGAGATGTACCACTTGTCTTGGTGAGGGATAGTGTAGCAAGATGAAGCAGGGGATGGGCAGCGTGTTGTATCAAAGAGCATGAGTCGAAGAAATGTTAGAGAGAGCAACAGGGAACATAGCTCGCCTCTACCCTGCCCCCATGTTGTTTGTGGCAGACAAGGTAATTAAAGTTGCCAAGGGCATTCAAAATACTTGTATGTGCCGAAGGTTGGGAGTGATTGGGCAATATAGGGGACCAGACAAGGAAAAGGGGAGTAACTTACACACCATCTTGGCAGTCTGGGCAAGCTTTGGTTGTGAGGCGGATGAATTGTTGTTCTTGGTTGGGCGTTTATCGTTGTCGTGGTGAGAGAGAGAGATTGCTACAGTAGATGTGCTGTAATGTGCACAGTGTGAGC